TTAACCAGAATTGACCGGGAGCACATGAGAGATAGACTGTATGCTAGGATGTGAAACCCAAGCATCCAGACATGAGGGGACCTTAGTAAGACGGCTAGGAAAGCCCCCTCTTCATCCCACTGATGGAACGTATGCCAGCCGCCGTGCCAGTCAGATAGCGCCGAGTTAACAAAAACTCTCCTGTAAACCATCTTGCCAAGACGACTTACGTGTTTGGCAAGGCGGACGATGTAGCGTGTGGGACGAAGAGGGGGGCTTTCCTAGCCGTCTTGCTAAGGTCCTCTCATGTCTGGATGCTTGGGTTTCACATCCCTGCATACAGTCTATCTCTCATGTGCTCCTCAACTCTGGTTTTGTGTACATTAAACTCGGTCTTGAGCAAAAACTGTCTTGTTACAACTAAGGTCGATGTGACGTCTGCGTGACTTTGGACTAGTACAAGTCTAACAAACTTGTATTCCGTCGGTTATGGGCCCCGATTACATGCTCAATCATGTTGATCTTATATTTGGTTAGTTGAATTGTTTACTGGAGTTTTTTCTTTCTTGGTATTGTTTTCCCGTTGCTGTTGACAATTCATGCAAATTCTATCAAGCTGTACACATTCGGATGACTCCTCTCTTCAATCAGGCTCTCTTTCTAGCCGCAAGTTGTTTAGGCCTATCTCAGCCTCAATTTGTTTGATTGATCTTCGAATAGGAAAAACAAGCCTTTCCCCAGCCAGATTGGTCGGTCGAATATCTGCTTAACCGTGTGGAAACGCACTTGAAGCTGATTCGATTCTTATTTTTCTTGATCTTTGAGTAGGATCAAATGGAACTACCAGGAGATCTGGCGGAAGTTTTCATGTCATGGAGCTAGGCTGTGGCATGCATAACTGGAGCTACTTCTGGATCGGCGAACAAGGTACAACTGCACAACAATCTTCGAATGCCTTGAAACGGATGTTCCATCTCGCGGCAGCAATCTCTGGTCACAAGTTCTTTACGGTTCAAAATTTATCTTTTGGTCTTCAAATGCCGGCGGGCACGCTCTCTCTTTTGGTCTTCAAATGCCGGCGGGCACGCTCTCTCTCTCTCTCTCTCTGTTATCTGAACTCCGAAGTTCTCTCCTCAGCTCGCCAGGCATCTCCCTTATCTCTGCACTGCCCATCTAATAGCCCTGCATGAAATTCTTCTTCAGAATGGACAATCCTTGAATGGTTATTGCCCACTCAGCATGACTGTGAACTTGACGTTGTATCATCGTATCTTGACTTGGAACTCTGCTGACATTCTCTTCAAGCTTGTTTGTGTGACTTTCTGACGTCCGATGTAACGTACTATTTCAGAAACTCGGGGGGAGGATGGAACGTATGCCAGCCGTGCCAGTCAGATAGCGCCGAGTTAACAAAAACTCTCCTGTAAACCAAGACGACTTACGTGTTTGGCAAGGCGGACGATGTAGCGTGTGGGACGAAGAGGGGGGCTTTCCTAGCCGTCTTGCTAAGGTCCTCTCATGTCTGGATGCTTGGGTTTCACATCCCTGCATACAGTCTATCTCTCATGTGCTCCTCAACTCTGGTTTTGTGTACATTAAACTCGGTCTTGAGCAAAAACTGTCTTGTTACAACTAAGGTCGATGTGACGTCTGCGTGACTTTGGACTAGTACAAGTCTAACAAACTTGTATTCCGTCGGTTATGGGCCCCGATTACATGCTCAATCATGTTGATCTTATATTTGGTTAGTTGAATTGTTTACTGGAGTTTTTTCTTTCTTGGTATTGTTTTCCCGTTGCTGTTGACAATTCATGCAAATTCTATCAAGCTGTACACATTCGGATGACTCCTCTCTTCAATCAGGCTCTCTTTCTAGCCGCAAGTTGTTTAGGCCTATCTCAGCCTCAATTTGTTTGATTGATCTTCGAATAGGAAAAACAAGCCTTTCCCCAGCCAGATTGGTCGGTCGAATATCTGCTTAACCGTGTGGAAACGCACTTGAAGCTGATCTGGCGGAAGTTTTCATGTCATGGAGCTAGGCTGTGGCATGCATAACTGGAGCTACTTCTGGATCGGCGAACAAGGTACAACTGCACAACAATCTTCGAATGCCTTGAAACGGATGTTCCATCTCGCGGCAGCAATCTCTGGTCACAAGTTCTTTACGGTTCAAAATTTATCTTTTGGTCTTCAAATGCCGGCGGGCACGCTCTCTCTCTCTCTCTCTCTGTTATCTGAACTCCGAAGTTCTCCGGAGTCCTCAGACTCTCTTATCTTATCCTCCTTCTCTCGTCATTGCATCAGCTCGCCAGGCATCTCCCTTATCCTTCAGAATGGACAATCCTTGAATGGTTATTGCCCACTCAGCATGACTGTGAACTTGACGTTGTATCATCGTATCTTGACTTGGAACTCTGCTGACATTCTCTTCAAGCTTGTTTGTGTGACTTTCTGACGTCCGATGTAACGTACTATTTCAGAAACTCGGGGGGAGGATGGAACGTATGCCAGCCGTGCCAGTCAGATAGCGCCGAGTTAACAAAAACTCTCCTGTAAACCAAGACGACTTACGTGTTTGGCAAGGCGGACGATGTAGCGTGTGGGACGAAGAGGGGGGCTTTCCTAGCCGTCTTGCTAAGGTCCTCTCATGTCTGGATGCTTGGGTTTCACATCCCTGCATACAGTCTATCTCTCATGTGCTCCTCAACTCTGGTTTTGTGTACATTAAACTCGGTCTTGAGCAAAAACTGTCTTGTTACAACTAAGGTCGATGTGACGTCTGCGTGACTTTGGACTAGTACAAGTCTAACAAACTTGTATTCCGTCGGTTATGGGCCCCGATTACATGCTCAATCATGTTGATCTTATATTTGGTTAGTTGAATTGTTTACTGGAGTTTTTTCTTTCTTGGTATTGTTTTCCCGTTGCTGTTGACAATTCATGCAAATTCTATCAAGCTGTACACATTCGGATGACTCCTCTCTTCAATCAGGCTCTCTTTCTAGCCGCAAGTTGTTTAGGCCTATCTCAGCCTCAATTTGTTTGATTGATCTTCGAATAGGAAAAACAAGCCTTTCCCCAGCCAGATTGGTCGGTCGAATATCTGCTTAACCGTGTGGAAACGCACTTGAAGCTGATTCGATTCTTATTTTTCTTGATCTTTGAGTAGGATCAAATGGAACTACCAGGAGATCTGGCGGAAGTTTTCATGTCATGGAGCTAGGCTGTGGCATGCATAACTGGAGCTACTTCTGGATCGGCGAACAAGGTACAACTGCACAACAATCTTCGAATGCCTTGAAACGGATGTTCCATCTCGCGGCAGCAATCTCTGGTCACAAGTTCTTTACGGTTCAAAATTTATCTTTTGGTCTTCAAATGCCGGCGGGCACGCTCTCTCTCTCTCTCTCTCTGTTATCTGAACTCCGAAGTTCTCTCCTCAGACTCTCTTATCTTATCCTCCTTATCTCTGCACTGCCCATCTAATAGCCCTGCATGAAATTCTTCTTCAGAATGGACAATCCTTGAATGGTTATTGCCCACTCAGCATGACTGTGAACTTGACGTTGTATCATCGTATCTTGACTTGGAACTCTGCTGACATTCTCTTCAAGCTTGTTTGTGTGACTTTCTGACGTCCGATGTAACGTACTATTTCAGAAACTCGGGGGGAGGATGGAACGTATGCCAGCCGTGCCAGTCAGATAGCGCCGAGTTAACAAAAACTCTCCTGTAAACCAAGACGACTTACGTGTTTGGCAAGGCGGACGATGTAGCGTGTGGGACGAAGAGGGGGGCTTTCCTAGCCGTCTTGCTAAGGTCCTCTCATGTCTGGATGCTTGGGTTTCACATCCCTGCATACAGTCTATCTCTCATGTGCTCCTCAACTCTGGTTTTGTGTACATTAAACTCGGTCTTGAGCAAAAACTGTCTTGTTACAACTAAGGTCGATGTGACGTCTGCGTGACTTTGGACTAGTACAAGTCTAACAAACTTGTATTCCGTCACCCACACGCCGCGAGTACATGCCCGCCTCGAAAACACGTAAGTCGTCTTGGTTTACAGGAGAGTTTTTGTTACTGACTCGGCCGCCCGCCGCACTGCGTGATATCTGACTGGCACGGCTGGCATACGTTCCATCAGCGAGCCGCGTGACTGCGCCGTGCCAGTTCGCCCCCGGCCCGCGGCTGCGCCGATTGTAGCCTCAGCATCAGAACCGCACCGTACTAGCCTTTTTTTCGGCGGGTCCGACTCCGACGAGTCACCGTGGTTTGCAACAACAACTTGCCGCGCCACCGCACAGTGACTGGCCGCGTGCCAGACTGCCCCGGGCCCGTGACTCCGGCGGTACGGTCACCGGGTACGGGTCGGGAGGCCCGGGCCCGGGCCCCGGTGGCCGGGCCCGCACCCCGGGCCCGGGCCGGCCGGCGCGGCGCCCGGCCGGGCGTCTCCGAGTTCCGGCAAGCCGCAATCATGACCGTACAAGCGGCCTACTACCGTAAGTAGCCTGAGCCTGGCCCAGTGACATGTGACTGATCACAGCCTTGCAAGCAACATCGTTTGCGGGAGTATTACTTTTCATTGAAGTTGTGGTAATTGCATCGCCTTCTCCATCATCATGCCATCGCGACTCACGGCGGCAGTGTGACCGTACCGGCGGCGATCTTTGATCCTCTGAGTCTCACGAGCACGCTCAGCTGAAACTCGGATCACACCTGACACATCATGAAACGGCGAGCCGAACGAGGACAGAGAATGAGCGTCAAGATTCTGAGTTGTAAGGGACTAAGGAAGCGCTGCTGCGGTGTATCAGTGATCGCCTGCCCATTGCACATGGGATGACCAACTTCCCAAGTTCGAAAACGGTTTGTGGTACGGCGGAGGAAAGATAAACTTCAACTGCCTCCATGGGTGGCTCGAGTCAGCCAGCCAGCCAGCCAGCCAGCCAGCCACGCTGAGAGCATAGAGAGGCAGCAGCTTAGTGCGCATGGTACTTCGAAACAGACGCATGGCAGTTAGAGGCAAAAGAAACAACGAGTTTACTCAGGATCAATGTCACTCCGCAAGCCTGCACTGCGGAGCACATCACTGTATGCCTCTGCCATCTCGTACATCCACACGCCAACGATGGCCATGCCAGTGTTGTGCGCTGCTACAGTGATCTCCTTAGCCTGAGGACAAAACGTTAACACGGAAAAACCAAATACAAGCGGAATGAAGAAGAGATTCGTCATCTTACCTTGTCTGCTGTCATACCAGGGATGTACTTCATTAGGGTGTCAATAACGTACTGCCTTGTGTTCTTGTCATCGTTGAACAACAGAACCTTGTACTTCTTCCCAGGATCAGTCTTGTCTGAAGGCCTGTCCATCACAGCTGTTCTTCCACCCTGCCTTTCTTTCTCCATCTCCGCTGGGTTGAAGCTATCAGGAACCTTGAACCCACCAAGCCCATCACCGAAGCCTCCCTTTCCGCCCCCAACGCCCCATTCCGCCGGGTTGAAAGTGTCAGGTATCTTAATCCTTTCGGGAGCCTCGAGCTGCATCTTCCCAAGCACTGCAGGCCTGAGAGTAGCGCATGTTTGCTGAGTGATGCCCCTGGTTCCAGGAAGAAAGCTGGTAGGAGCTTGGAAGCACCAAGCAAGAGGTAGGAGTGCGAGGGCAGCAAGAACCTGTCTTCCCATCATGAACCAAAGAATGGAAGAGATCCACTTGATAAAGAAGCAGACAGCTCTTAGAAGAGGATGATGCAGATGTGCTGGAAACGCAACAGGAAAGCTCCAAGCAGAGCGAACGCAAGCACAGATGCGCACTGAACGAACAAGCAGGGAGATGTTCTGCAAGGGATGGACGGATGGGGGAGGGTCGCGTGCGGGAAAACTGTGGGTAGGGGTGGTAGGAACAATGGTGGGGGTCATACCCACCCCACATTTCGTCATTTTTGGTCAACACCGGTGGTACCTTTATCCCCCTCTTGCAGAGTTGAATATATGGATAAGTACCGGTGATCTAATACACGAGATGCAAACTAGAATTCGACGGGGTGTAATTTGTACAAGGGTAGGTGCCCTGAAGGGTCCAATCCCTGTACCTTTATTAGAACCCCCACCCTCTCTCATGACCGTACCCCAATGCATTGAAGACAACGTACACCACCCCACCCCTATATCTCCAGAAATTTCCAATGGAATCCTCGACCCCTACCCCCCCTAGAACGTACCCGGCCCTTCAGGTAAAGCACTGTACCCACCCCGTATAGAACGATGGAATCTTCTTCTAACAGTATGTAAAACTACCCCATCATGAAATACCCCACCCTCCACCCTCCACCCCCCATTATTAGTTCTCCTGTGGGAAAGCAGTCTCCCAAACCCACCCTACCCACCTCACACTTGGCGGTTCACTGTAAACAGAAATATATTTCAAACCTTTTGTGAGATTTTGGAACATTCTGAACCAATTTGAAAGCAGCTCTGATGAAATCTGAAGCATCACTTGAGTTATTTTAATAATATTAATAGGAATCCAGGGGTAGGTAGGGGTACTTTTTGCTGACAACATGCGGGTACATGGAATAAAGAGATGGGGTTCTTGAAAGCGAAATTTTATGGGTGGGGTAGTGTTATGGCACCCGTAGTTCTTCCAGCAGCATAAGGTATGTTTGACAGGTGGGGTAGTGGCAGCCTCAGCCCATGGCAGTGCCCACGGTCAGGCTCAGGAATGGCGTCGAACATCCGCTGATCGGCTATGGCACGTACAAGGTGAGAGGACACGAAGAGACAAACCACGGAGAGACGCTGTGTGAGATGTGAGATGTGAGATGTGAGATGTGAGATGTGAGATGTGAGATGTGACATGTGACATGTGAGATGTGACATGTGACATGTGGAGTATGAACAGTAATGAAATACGGTGTCTGGAAACCGGGTTGGGATGAAGGAGAAATGTTTTGAACCACCAATGTTTTTATCGGTGTGAAGTCAGCTTAAGATGGAAAGAAAGCAGGGCAATGCCATTCATAGATGTCAGTGGTGATAGCGGTAGCGACTGCTGCTGCAGTCAGGGGGGTAACTCGTTCACCATCTCACTGTCATGTAGATCGGGTTTGTCCCCGCCAGTTCCAACAGCGCGTCGGAGCCAGGGCACTCACCCGACCAGGACCCAGCCGACATCATCAAAGACGCGCTCGCGTGCGGGTACAGGTGAAGCGGAGAGGGGAGAGGACAGTGGGGGATGGGGGAAGCTGCTGGTTCGTTTGCTCACAGGGCGCTGTGCAAAGGTACATCGACTGTGCTCAGTTCTATGGGAACGAGAAGCTGGTGGGGAAGGCGATCAGCGAGAGCAAGGTGCCCCGAGCGGAACTGTTCCTGGTGTCCAAGGTGTGGGGAGACAAGATGTATGAGGGGAGGGAGGCTATCCTTCGGCAGCTCGACCAGACGCTCGAGGACTTGGGGACTGACTACCTCGATATCTATCTCGTGCACTGGCCTGTCCCGGGGAAGCATGTGGCGGCATACCAGGTGCTAGAGGAAGCGCTGGGTGCGGGAAAGATCCGGGCGATCGGGATCAGCAACTACACGAGGGAGGACTATGAGGAGCTCAAGGCCGTGGCTCGAGTGCCTCCTGTGGTGAACCAGATCGAAGTGAACCCTTTCCTGTGGAGGAGGAAGACGTACGATTACTTCATGGGGGAGGGGGTGGTCCTCCAAAGCTACCGGGCACTGCGGCAGGGGAAGGAGATGGGCAACCCCTGCGTCGCTGAGGTCGCCAAGAAGCACGGGAGGACAGCAGCGCAGGTGAGGAAGGGAGGAGGAGACTGAAGGGAAGGAGGAGGAGGAGGAGGAGGAGGAGGAGGAGAGGGATTGGAGGAAAGAGAAGAGTGCACTCGCGCTGCGGGGGAGGCCGCTGACGCTGCAGCAGATCCTAGGGAGATGGTGCGTGCAAAGGAACATCGTGCTAGTTGCCAAGACAGTTCACAAGGAGAGGATGAAGGAGAACATGGCCGTGTTCGACTTCCAGCTGGACGAGGAGGACATGAAGAGGCTAGACGGTCTCACGACCCCCGAGAGTCTGGCGGTGAGAAAGCCGCTCTGTGACGTGAAGGCTCTAGGGAGCTCACGGTGCACTTGCAGGAGTTCAAGGCGCTGTACGACAAGTGCGTGGTAAGGGACACTCCCCTTGCAGCTCTAGAGCCCTCGGAGCAGGGAGTCAAGAAGGAGGTCCTGCTGGACTAGTCTCGCTTCCCTCGAATTCTTATCTTCATCTTCTTTCATCAGCAGACTCGTCATATTCTTTTACCTCTCCTCCTTCTCCTCTTCTCCTCCCAGCCGCGCGCTCATCGCAGTCGCTGCAATGATGAGAGGAGCTTGCGCAGCTGCTCGTCCTGGATCGTGATCGACGCCAACTCGTCCTCCAGCAGGTCATGGCAGTCATGGAGCTGTGCTCCGTACTGCCTTCCCACCTGCATGATGCGGCCATGGAGGATGCGCATCCAGACGGAGTCCTTGTCGTTTCCTTCAGACCGCTTCTTGTGCTTCCGCTTACTGCTCTTGGTCTTGGACGCCTCATCCTCCTCCTCCTCCTCTTCCTTCGTCTCCGCGTCCATGGCGTCGCCATTCTTGGCGTCGGCGCCATCTCCCGCCTGCTCGGGGTCGAGCTTTGGCTTCTTGTTGCCACTCTCCTCTGTCTCGTTGTTGTCCTCCTCCTTCTCCTTCTCCTCCTTCCTCTCGTAGCATTCGTTAGCCAGCAGCACCAGCCCGCGGATGACGGCGATGAGGATGTCATCCTGGTCCCGAGTGGAGGAGCGCAGCACGTTCTTGATGCGAGAGATCCTGTCCGCCTTCTGGATCATCTCCTCATCCTCCTCGTCGCTCGTCTGCTTCAGCTTGTCCAGCTCCTTCTGGGCCTCTGACAAATCCCTCCTCACCGTCCTCACCAGCTCCACCGGCTTCCGGATCGCCATGATCATGAGCTCCCACACAGCGTCTCCCCTCCCCTCCACGTACTCGAAGGACGAGAGCAGCCACTTGGCGAGGTTGATGGGGGAGATGAGCTTCATCGCTACGAACTTGTCCATCACCATCACGAAGCACTGCGGGTTCTTCTTCCACGTGTGCGAGATCGCCGTGGCGCATGCGAACTGCTCCTGCTCGCCCTCCACGCAGGAGCGGAGGACCTTGAGGTACCTGCCGACGATGCCGAGGACATGGCTGAAGCTCTCCCTCCCCTCGTACACCATGGCGGCCACCAGGATCTTGGCTCGGTCAGCGGTCGGCGTCTCTGAAGTGAGGTCGCTGAGGCTGTTTGCCACGAACTCTTCGAGCACGGAGCACTCCTCCCTTCGAGAGAGCGACACCATGTCCTGCACCTCCGTCACGAGCTCCCGCATGTGATCCTCGATGTACTCCGAGGGCGCGATGGCTCCGGTCTCCTTGTCGATGAGCCCCATCAGGTCCAGCGCTCCCTCCACCGTCACGGCGTTCTGGATCCGCTCGAAGTAGGAGAGGCGGACGCAGCGCTGAAGTAGCGCGGCCACGAACCTGCGCTTCGGCGAGTGGTCCGGCAGCATGACAACGTCCAGCCAGTCGGCCCACAGCCACTTCCAGTCGAAGTTGGAGAAGTGAAGGGAAAGCCACTCCACCACCCGGTCAACGCACTCCGCCTGCATCGTCGGCACCGCGTCGAAGAGGTAGTTGATCGCTGCTCCCAGCGCCGGGTGCATCGTACTCTGGAGCCTGCAGAGCTCTATGAGGGTCGAGGCGTAGTAGGCCACAGGGTGTGTCGAGTTGGGCAGCCGCAGCATCTCGGAAAGGATCGCTTCAACAACAACCCCCTCGAACTTGGGGATCGACGGGAGGTTCAGGATCTGCTTCGCTCCCTCCACCACGTTGCCCTTCAGCCCCCCGACCCCGGGCTGGTTCTTCAGCTCGGGCTCAAACAAGTCCCTTGTCCCCGCGAAGAAGTGCAGGATGTCCCGGACGCAGTCCTGGATGACCCACAGGTTGGGAACAGGAACCTCGATGAGGGAGGGCAGCAGCCGGAAGCTGACAGGGATCCTCCTGACCCCCTTGGGCCTGCTCTTGGTTCCCTCTATCAGCAAAGTTGGCATCTGGTGTTGAGTAGGCGAACGGCGGAGGCGCGACGACACTCGACCTGTCCCGTCGTTGAGCGGAGTGACCAGACAGTCTGGGCGGATCCACCGCGCCTCCATCAAGCACAGCACCATCTCCCACGCGTCCTCCACCGCGTCAAGGGGACCAGGGTCCACAGGCGGGAAGGACTGGAACATGCTCAGGCAGCCGTCCAGCAGCTCCTTCACCGGCGGGCGTCGCTGCATGTAGTCGCGGAGGATGCCGAAGATCTCTTCCAGCTCCTCTCGCTTGTGCTCCCGCAGGGTCTCGCAGCAGTAGGGTATAGTGCTCATGACCAGGTATGCACAGAGGTCGCGACGACGAAAGTGGGCTCTCGTGTCGCGCGTCACCGTCAGGAAGTCGTGCAGAAGGCCGACGAGTCCGGACATGTAGAGGACGCCGCTGCTGCACAGGGCCGCGGAGAAGCGGAGGACGAGCTTCTGCGACAGGAAATCGTCGACCCTGACCGCATCCTCCAGGCGAGCATGGACGGCGTTGATCACCCGCTTCCCGAACTCAGGGTGCTCCACGTTGACCATGCCGACCAGCACGCCCAGGACGGGCACTTTGCTCCCGAGCTTGCAGACGCACTTGATGATGAGGTCGATGATCCAGTCCCCATCCCCTCGCATCAGCTGTCGCTCCACATCCTCCGTCAGTTGCATCATGTTCGCCTCCATCAACGACGGGCGCTCGTCTCCTGCTCTGATGATCCTGTCTCTCAGCGACGGGTCGGCGCCCTTCATGCCAGCAGGAGGCAAGGGAGTCGCCGCAGCTGCATGCTGTGCCTTGGCTCTGAGGTGGGCAGAGTCGGCTCCCGGACCCATACCCCAAGTTCCATCTCCTCTCCCCCTTCCTCTCCCCCTCCCCCGAGGGCGCGAGTCCCACTGGTCACCTCCGAACATCTTGCCTCTTCTCTTTCACTTCTGTCACAAGATCCGCTCGACCCTGCTGGAAGGTCTGAGCTCTGGCTGCAGAGTGTGGAACCGTCTCTGAATCAATACGCGCCCTTGTCTTCACGGAACAAACGATGCTGTGATTTACACCTCTCTGCTCTGTGTGGTCCTGTCTTGTCGTGCCTCCGTCTCTGTCTCTGTCTCTGTCTCCTCTTCTCTCCTTCTATCTCTACCTTTTCTTCCTCTGTCTTCTTCTCTTCCTCCTCCTCTCTCTCTCCTCCTTCTTCTTCTTCTTCTTCTATCTCTCTTCTTCTTCTTCTTCTTCTTCTTCCTCTATCTCTCTCTTCTTCTCCTTCTTCTTCTTCTTCTTCTCTCCTCCTTCTCTCCTCTGCTTCCCGTCCCGCGCGCACAGGAGGAGGCGTCGTCCTCCTGCTCCTCGCTGCCCGTGCGCCCACATATATTACCACCCACACCCCATCTTGTTGCTACAAATTCATTGTAGACTAATGATTACTTATAAAATACAGTACTAAATCGAGCTTGTATTTCACTTAAAAAGTGTCCCTGCAGGTAATAAAAGTTTACTTACCTAATCATTGATTTTTACTCACTGGAAATCAGCAGAGGCAATTTCGAATGTTTACTCATCTAGGAAATTGATTCTACTTTTACTTAATACATGTCACAACTACCCACCCACCCAGAGACACGTTGAAATCCAAATTAAGTGGGTGGGGGTGATATGTTTTTAAAAAGGATGACTTTTAAATGCAAGGGGAGCGGAATGGGGGATAAGAATGGGACAGTGACCAGAGAGGAGTAGGACAAGACAAGAACAGGATAAGATGGTAGGAGAAAGTTTGCGGTATCATGCTCGATGGTAGCGAGATGGTGTGAAGATGTGTTTACGGTTTATGATGATGGATGGAGTCAGGATGTAGCGATAGATGCCGATGTCTGCAAGAGGAAGGTAGCTGAGCTTGCTGGATAACCTGCATTGAGAGATCAGCAAAAGAGGAGGAGAAGGGGGATCAAACACGTTCTCACCTCCTTTGCGACGCATATTGCATTGACCATGAATCTTGTCAGCCTGTCATGATTGCTGCGATCGAGATCTAGACAAGGGACATCCGGCATGGAGACATCCGCTCGCGTCATGATCCTTTCTATCTTCAGCCATCTCTCCCTCGCATACTGCTGGGCTCCGACCATGTTGCGGTCAGCCCCGCAGGTCTCATCCGTGGCGCGAAGGATCGCAGCTGCCTGCCATGATCGGCCTCGTACCCGACTCGGTCCCCGCATGTCGTCAGTGCCCTCCACATGCGGGGAAGATGCTCTCCTGAGTCGAACGCAAAAGTTCCAAGCCATCTTTACAGGTGCGAGGAGAGTAGACGAGGGCGGGAGAAGGAGAGGGGAGGATGCAGTGTGTGTGAGTGCTAGGAAGGAGGACCAGAAGGTCGATGACTGAGCTAGGGAAGAGGAGGGGCAGGGGGAGGAGGAGGAGGAGGAGGAGGAGGAGGAGGAGGTGGAGGAGGAGGAGGAGGAGGTGGAGGTGGAGGTGGAGGTGGTGGTGGATCCGCTCACTGGTTGGATGCAGATGTGGATGGGACTCTGCTCAACAAGCAGCACCAGCTGGACCCCGAGACTTGCGCGGCGATCAACGAGGCTGTGAACTCAGGTGTCAAAGTTGTCATGGCGACGGGTAAGGCCCGAGGCCCATGGGTGGGGACGTGAGGAGAGCACTGGGGCTACAGGACAAGGGATACACCATCAGCGGGCCAGGGGTCTTCATCCAGGGCCTCCTCGTGTGCGACAACGAAGGGAACGCCATCCAGGAGATCAAGCTGGGCCGGGAGACGGTGCAGGAGCTGGTGACCTACTCCAACACCCACCAGATCACCATCGTCGCGTACACAGACAAGGACATGATAGTGACGTCGGAGACGAACAAGGACACCGACGTCCTGCGCCCGTACAACGAGCCGCCGCCGACGAGCGTCGGAGAGGAGGGGATGCGAAGGCTGGGGGCTGAGGGAGAGCTGTGTGTGTACAAGATGATGTTCATCGGAGAGGAGGCGATCCTCAAGCGACACAGGCCTGAGATCGAGCAGAAGTTCGCCGGAGTTGCTGCCGTCACAAAGGCCATGGACGGTTTGCCCTCTTCCTCCTCGCCATCTACACCCCCTGACTCTGCCCCCTCCCTCAATTCGCCTATCTTGTCCGTTCAACACAATCCTTCTTCACCTCCTCCTCCCCCTCTTCTCTTCCTCTCCTTCTCTTCCTTCCATCCCTACACTCTCCTCCTCGTCCCCCCCCCCCCCCCCCCCCATCTCTAACGGACCCGCAGGTATGCTCGAGATTCTTCCTCCCGGGGCCTCGAAGGCGTCGGGAGTGCGTCGTGCCATGCAAGCGCTCGGCGTGTCTCCTGCCGCCTGCATGGCCATGGGCGACGGAGAGAACGACCTGGAGATGCTGAAGCTTGTGAAGGAGGCAGGAGGCCTGGCAGTAGCGGTGGGGAATGCTGTCCCCAAGCTCAAGGAGGTGGCGGACAGGACGGTGAACGATCATGACAAGTTGGGAGCAGCGGAAGCGATTCGGCTCGTGTTGGAGAGCAACGCAAAGTTGTCTTGAGAAACGTGTTGCTGCCCTAGGAGGCTTGCGAGAACGCCTGCTCCCACTCGGATGGAGAAGGCGTGTAGACCTGAGGGAACGTGAGCAGAAAGTCGGACAGCAAGAGGAGGTGGAGGAGGAGTATACCGTTCGGCTCTTGGTGTTGGCTGCAGGGCACTGTGCGTTTCAGGCAAAGGAAGGATCATCAGTGAAGAATAAATCAAAAGTTACACGATGAAGAAAGAGACAAAATCGAGAAACTGATTCCAACGTGACAAGACTTGCTCCAAGAACGAAGAAGGATACACAGACCCGACATAGTCACATGTAAGGAAGCAGAGAATCTTGCAAAGAGAGGATGTGACAGGCTCTGGAAGGAGCAGAAGGGAGTAGAACAAAGCTAGAGGTCCAGGGGGAGGAGGGTTCTGGAGGGACGAGCAAGAGCTAGGTGAGAGAGCAGGGCACCTGCATGTGGTTCTTCACAGAGCAAGGCACGAATCCCTCCTTCTTCGAGATGATGCTGAACGTCTTGACGTCTCGTTGGAGAGCCTTGAGATCGAAGTCACCCCCGCACGAGGGAGGACGGGGAGCAGGAGCATGTACCTCGAAGAGGGCGGTCGACGCGAGGTCGCGGGAGGTACTGCCGTCGATGCGGTCGGTCAAGGAGACCTGGAAAGACTGCAGAGGAAGAGGATGAGCCAGTGGTCCCTTCCTGTCGCTCATCAGGCACCTGGTGCTCGAAGTCGAAGAGGTTCCCCTCCAGAGCAGACTGGAACTCGCGGTTGGAGTTATAGAAGGGCCCGCCCTGCAGCTGGCCTGCTGCAGCAAGTCAACGCCTTGCAGCGGCTTGCGAGGAGGCGTGAGGAGAGGTCGACCTGTGCGGACGATGGTGTAGTCGAAGCCTTGCTCAGCAGCACACTGCTTGAGGGTCTCCTCTATCTCGTACCTGCCCTCAGGGCTGAGGAGAGGACGAGGGGCTGGGTACGGCTCCTCACCACTTGCCGATCTTCAGGAACGGGTTGAACTTGAACAACAGTTCATCCTTCCTGTCTACTCCAACTCTTGACATCATCACAACCCTAGCGTCACACGCCGTTAGTCCCATCCTGACCCTTGTTGACGATTCACTTCTCTAGCCCCTGGATCCCGCCCAGGAAGTATCGGAGCTGCTGGGAATCGGCCGGATCCTGCACCGCAAACACTCAGCGGATAGCAAGGGACAACTCCCGCACTCTCCTCGGTCGCGATGACAAGCCCTTTGACAACAGGCAACTGATCGTTCACCAACTGCACAACCTTTCAGTCACGCCCTCCCCCTGCTGCCACTCCCCTCTGCTCCTGCTACCTGCACACCCTCGGGAACATGGTTGGGGAAGCCGTCGATGGGCCATCGGAGAGGAGACTTGTCGGTGAAGCCCGGAGGCACCTGAGGGGCCAAGAGTCACTGAGGAGGGGAGGACGAGAAGGAGGAGCAGGAGCAGGTACTTGAACCACGGGCTTGAAAGAGTTGTCGACGAGGACCTTGGTGACACAGATTCCTGTTCTCTCATACGCAGGGACAACAGCCACCTGTCGCTCGAGTCATTCCGGAACTAAATCCCCTCCTCCTCGCATGTTCATGGATCAAGACGAAAACGTGAAACAACAGCAACGGCCTCACCCGCGATCCCTTCTCCACAGACATGCGCAAGCATGTTCGCGTGCTCGTAGGATGGAGCATCCTTGACGAGGGAGCGACCTGCATGAAGCTCTCCGCCTGCTGCCATGTCGCCGCCAGCAACAGCAGCGCGACGCCCTGGCGCCCCTGCATGATGGTGGTGGAGTTTGCCTCGAAAAGTAGGGAAAAAAGAAAGGAAAAAAAAAGTTTAAAAAAAACGAAAAAGAAAAAGAAAAAGAAAAAGAAAGAAATTGAAGCCTGAACTCACTCGATCATCGGACTCCGATCATGATCGAACATCGGATTATAGTGATGATCGAACATCATGGCATCGGATTATAGTGATGATCGGATCATGTCCGATCATCCGAGATGTGATTGGACTCCGATCATGATAATGTGAGATGTCATCGTACTCTGATCATGATAATGTGAGTTAACTTTGAGTAAAGGCAGGCGATGTGAGTCGACACATCAGAGTCGGTGGCACAGGCCCGGGCCCGGGGACCTTTAGGAGAAGTTTACTATCAACACCGTACATGACACTAGTGAATGACTAGAAGAAACGAATGGACCTGTCACTCTCGCTGTCTTCATAACTCACGTTGATCGACCTGCCATCAGCATCGATCAGCATCATCCCATCATCATCATCGCCTCCTCTTCCACCACTGGCACCACAACTACAGGCTCCTCCTCCCTCCCTCTGTTCGGGCCTCTGTCACTCCCTCGTTTCTTCCGCAAGTCACTCACTCGTTGATTGTCATCTCGGTTTGTTCGAGAATCTGTGCTGTCTCTGCGTTGGAACTGTATGTGCTAAGTTAGAGGGAGGAGGAAGAAGAGGATGACAGAGAGCGAGGGGAGGAGCACGAGGAGGATGTGACGGGAGGGACAGGGACGGCAGGAGGGGCGAAGGGGAAAGGGGAGGGGCAAAGTCAGTCAGTCACCCGAACTTGGAGGACGTGAGAACCTCTCGCAGCCTGAAGCAATCCTCGAGGAAGTCCTGAACACACGTCAGCACTCAGCTCGACCCCACCTAGCCGGCAAGTTTCTCACCTCACAGAAAGGTGTCAGGTTCGACCTCCTGCAATCTCCCCGGAACTTCCTCAGGGATGCGCCTGCCGGACTTCTCAGCTCCTCAGAGGACACGAGGTCGTCGGCCGCTCACCCCAGTTCTGGATGATCAACTGTTGCTCCCGCTCGAGCTCTGCTGGGCCCGTCAGCCGACCCGTCAACCGCAAAGTTGAGCAGACGATGACCCCACCTGAACCCGTCCTGCCGTTCTCAGCTCTTCTCATCTCAGCCCGCAGGGAGTGCAGCTCCTTGGCCAGCCTCTCGTTCTCCATCTGCCACGTCACTGAGCTATCTCCACCCCCTACGGCAGCCACGATGCCAGCTGGTCACCTGCAGAGCTCCCAGCTGGGAAATCATCCTCTGGTCTCCCAGCTCGCCAGATCCTGCTGGGTGTAAGGAGACGGGTCGTGAGGGGCGAGGAGCAGACCAGCATAGGAGAGTGACTTCTGGGCGTCCTGGCAGCTGGAGTCAGAGGCGGGCGGCTGCGGGAAGGGGGGGAGGGGCGGGGCTTCACCTCGTGCCTCTTGCGTTGAATGTCCCGCAGTTTGCACTGGAGCTTCAGCTAGCGAAAGGATCAGGCGGGGAGGAGGCGGAGGGCAAGGAACCTCAAACTGATGTGCAATCTCCGCCTCCTTCCTCTGCAAGTAGATCTGGCACTTGGGGCAGACAGCCTCCCTCGTATCGCAGCTGATTTCAATCTTGTTGTTCTCCTCCTGCCTCGCCCCTCGTCCTCCTCCTTCCTCCTTCCTCCCGTGCTCGTGCAGCTTCGCCTTGACCTGGAGCGCGGCGATCTGCCTTCTTCTCAGCTCAGCTGGGGGAGTGAGTTGAGGCTCACCCCAGTGCTGCCGACCACAAGGGCGCTCTGCTTGCTCAGATCGAACCATCCCTGAGGGACAGTGAAGAGAGGGAGGGAGGAGCAGAAGGAGATCAGAGGGGGGAGGAGGGGGGAGCAGAAGGCGAGCAGAGGGGGGAGGGAGGGAGAGGGAGGGAGGGAAAATCTTACTTCGATTTCGTTTTTCACTGCTGCCCCCTTGAGCTATGACCATAAATAAGTCTCCCTTGCAGAGACAAGAAAGTGCGGAAATAGGAGGAGGCGGCAGTGGATGAGAGGAAGAGGACGAAAGAGGACGAGCGGAAGAGAAGGGAAAGGTGGGGGGAGGGGAGGAGGAGGAGGAGGAGGAGAAAGAAAAGGAGGGGGAGAGGAGGATGAGGTGGGGGAGAGAGAGGGGGGGTGAGAACACACCTCGACTCTCGCCTCCCCTATGACTCTCTCTCCGTGCTCTCCTCGGCACAGCACAGACACTCGGACGTTGTCCTGCCCCTCCTCCTCGAAGAAGTAGAAACGCTCGTTGAAACTTGCCAACGAGCTGCTGCCGCCGGTTAGAAGGAGAAGTGGGGAGGGAGGAAACGGTAAAAGAGGGAGCAGGGAGCAGGGAGGAGGGAGGAGGGAGGAGGGAGGAGGAGGGAGGAGGAGGGAGGCAGTGGGAGGGGGCAGGACCTGTATCGAGAGGAGGAGGTCCGAACTGTCGTGCCAGCATAGGAGATAGTGCAGAAGAGCAAGGAGCCGTTGGTCTGTATGCTTGTCAACAGCTGTAACGAGGAGGAAGCTGTGGAGGACCTTGCCGATGACAGGGAGGTTCTTAGCTCTGGAGAGAAAGGGTGAGGAGGGAAGTAGGAGAGGAGAGGAGAGGAGAGTGGCGGGGGAGGTGGGGAAGCAAGAGGTTGAGGGCGGCAGAGAGGTACCCGATGATCTGAATTTCAAGGAGGGAGGAGGAGGATAGGGGTCGTTCTTCCTCAGCAGCTACGTGCTGGTCAACCCCTCGATCGTCGAACCTGCAGGCTCCTCACTCCCTGCTTGCGCTACTGCTCGTCCCATCACCTCCCCCCAAGGATGTGTGCCAGAGCGTCGAGCTCGCGATCGTTCTGCCAAGCATGGATCAGAAGCGGGAAAGGGGAGGGGAAGGAGGAAGAAGGGGGGAGGGCGGGATCAGAAGCGGAGGAAGGCAATGAGGATAAATACCTTGCAGCTCCGGATTTGGTCAAGCGGGCAGCCGCTGATGATGAGCTGCCTGCAGTAGCAGAGCAGGAGAAAGAAGGTCATGAGCAGGAGAATGAAGATAGGGATTTGTGAAGGATGAAAGAGAGAGGGAAAGAGAAGAGGAAGGAGGAGAAAGATATGATGAAGAAGAGGAAGGATGAGGTGAGGAAGGATGAAGTGGGTATGATGCAGGAGGAGGAGCAGGAGAACTTACTTAAACCTGGAGCTCTTGACGTCGGCAAGAGGAAGAGGATTCTCAATGCCCGAGCAGGAGGACCAGAGTCGCGTCGAGGCAGCAGCGACCGGCGACACCTGCGAGCATCGCGGATCCAGGGCTGACAAATCGACCGAAGATGAGCGACAAGCAGCTCGATCTGGTGCTCCTGCTCCTGCTCCTGCTCCTGCTCCTGCTCCTGCTCCTGCTCCTGCTCCTGCTCCTGCTCCTGCTCCTGCCGTCACTGCTCCTGCTCCTGCTCCTGCTCCTGCTCCTGCCGTCACTGCTCCTGCTGGCTGTCTCTTTTCACATCTGTCCTGGTCCCTTTCAAGCTCGTGGACGTAGGAGAGAGGCTGCTCCCCCGGTCATGCGAGAGCATGCGAGCAAAGTCATCACCTTGAGCAGCTCGCTGCCTGCTGCGATGTCGGGGAGCAGCTGAGGAGAGGTTGGGGGAGGAGACGATGGAGGAGGGGAGGAGGAAGGTAGTGAGGTATGCTCCTGCGATGAGGGCGGGGAAACTGAAAAAGGAGGTGAGAAAGTTATCTGCAGCACGAGGAGATAGTGAAGGAGGAGGAGATAGTGAAGGAGGAGGAGATAGTGAAGGAGGAGGAGATAGTGAAGGAGGAGGAGATAGTGAAGGAGGAGGAGATAGTGAAGGAGGAGTACAGAGAAGGAGAGAGGAGGATTAATTCGTGATCGCTCACCCTTCGAGATGTAGCCGAGATGATTTTCAGGTACGTGACCCCGTTTGCCGTCCAGCAAAGCCACCAACCAGCCCTTGTCCTGTCTCACCCGTCAGAAGGGGATGAGGGAGAGAGGGAGGGAGGGAAGGGAGGGAGGGAGGGAAGGGAGGGAGGGAGTGTTACCTTTGAGCGGGAGAGGATAGTGAGGATATCGTTGGGCTTAAAAGAAAGCTCATCTCCTCTGCAAATAGTAAGAGAGAGGAAAAACAAGGAGAGGCAGGGGCAGGGAAAGAAGAAGAAAGTTGCAGGGAAGGGGGGGAGGGGGAGAAAGGAGGAGACAGAAGGAGTAAGTTGGAGGGAGGGAAGGGAGGAGGGGGGAAAGGAGGAGGGGGGAGGGAATGGAGGAGACCGGATTGCATTGTATCCATAGATAGCACGCGCAATCCTTCCCTCCTCGATGTCTCCGCTGATCTGCAGCTGGAAGGGAGGGAGGGAGGTCCCCTGCTCCACCTGCTCCGCCTCTGTTAATCCCTTCCTTCTTCTCTCTCCATGAAGAGCAACCGGACGAGTCGCCGTGTCCTCCTGACCCTCGGACAACACCTTTTCCCTGCTCTTGCCCCCCTCCGTCGCCCACGTAGGAGCAGGAGCAGGAGCGGGAGCGGGAGCAGGAGCGGGAGCAGTTTGCTTGTTCGCTGGCTCGTTTTCCTTATCTGGCATGCTCGTTCGTTCTGCCCTCAAGTCAGCTGCCAGCCGTACCCCAGCTCTTGTTACCTCGACGGAGGAGAAGCTTCGCGAGGAGAGCTCGGTAGGAGACAGCGAGCTCCTGCTGGGAGGTGAGCGAAGGAGGGGGAAGGGAGGGAGAAGGAGCGGGAGGAGTGGAGAGAGGAGGGAGGAGGGAGGGAGGGAGGGAGGGAGGGAGGGAGGGAGGGAGGGGAGGGGAAGTTACCTGTGCGCTTTTGGACAAGTTGTGCATCCGAACGATTGTGATATCGAAAGCCTGAGTGAAGACTGAGATATAGGAACTCACTTGGGGAGGAAAGAATACACAGGGCCGCCACGAGAAACCATAGGCGAGGAGGAGGTGGAGAGAGCAGAGCAGCGGAGGTGGGTATAGAGGTGGAAGAGAAGAGGAGGACGTGAAAGAGTAGGAGAGGAGGAGAGAAAAGGAGGAGGATATCATGGGATTTTTCCTCACTTTTCGCTGGTGGTTTCTGACGGAGAGGAAGACTCTGGTATAGGAGACGCCCTGCGATGCTTGAAGGACCTGAAGCTTTGACAGGCCAGCACAGGAGGCGCCGTTGATTGATACTATCTCATCTCCCACCTGACGCAAGGATTATGCTACAAAGATAGACATATCTTCTCTCCTCCTCTTCCTCTTCCCTCCCTCCCTCCCTTGTCCTTCCTGCCTGTGTGCCGCAAGCCCACCAGACCTTCTGCCTCGCTCCACATCATCTCAGTGCGGCCTATGGAGCACGGCTACACAAACTCTCGTTCGTCAACGAGTAACCTGACGGCTCAACGGAACTCCTGAGCTCCTACCAACAACCAACATCCGTTGCTACCTCACGAGCTACTTGCTCTGCCTCCACAGCAAGGCAAGAGAAAGGTCTAACAGACAGCAAGGGGGGCAGCTAGGCACCTTCAGCAGCCCAGTGCTCTTCGCTGCTCCTCCTTCGGACATGGCGCTGCTGAAGCGTCAGCTCCTATCGCACGCTCGCCAGGACTTCACCTCACGATGCACTTCCCTTCAGCGTTCTTCACAACGTCGATGCCGATCCCTGGGATACTTTGAGAGGAGGAGGGTTGGTGTGGGGCTGGCGGGTAGGAGGGTGTGGGGTTTTGCACGAAGGAGGGAGAGGAGCAAGTGGACGGATCGGGAAGAGGTGGTGGAGGAGAGAAAAATAGAGCAGGGTAAGGAGGGAGGAGGAAGCCAGAGGAGACGATTGGAGGAGAGTGGTGCGCCACCTGCAGTCAGGTGCAGTTGCTGGGTCTCGCATTCAGCCGATGCTGCAACATCTCTCAGATAGAAGCACAAAAGAGCGTAAAGGAGCTTGAGGATGGTAAGGAGAGGAGGGGGGAGGAGAGGAGGGGGAGAGGAGAGGAGGGGAGGAGAGGAGGGGGAAGGAGGAATTACTTCCACGGAAGCGAACAACGTGGATATCATGCTCAGATCCCTGCAGCAGCATCACCAAAGCTCCCATCATCCTCCAACTCACATCCGCATGCCGTAGCTTCATACCCACAAGAGTGTTCTCAGGGCCCAGGATCCGGTCCCTCAACCTGCAGCGCACACCGTCATGCCGAGCCGGCGGACATGCGCATGAGACCTGGCGAGCCTCATGGAGATCGGGACCTCTGGGCTGCTGTCCTGCACAGACTGCCCGTTGACTGGGAGGCTGTCAGCGGCGCCAGGGACTTGCGTCCTCACCTCTGAGGATGGTATCTCCTTTGGCGATCTGACCTGACAGGGCTGCTGCCCAGCATGGAGCGAGGTTCTCTACGACTGCCTCTCCTGGGACATGCAGCTTAGAGAGGAGCAGAGGGCGCACCATGCTACAGGATACCTGCAGCATTGAAGCCCAGGATGACGCCAATGCCGATGGCTTGACGCATATTGATTCTGTGTTGACACGGTCCCGAGCACGGAGGAAACCTCCACCAAACCTACAACTAACCACCGTTATTCACCTGACATTCAAAGAGAAGGATCTTGTATCTCGATTCTCCTCCCTCAATTTCTGGATGCTCAACACGTTTGCTCGGCTATTTGGGGGACCCCTACGACATGTGAACGACTTCATGTCCATCGAATCCCTTCATTGACATCTCCCTTGACATAGCATCATCGTTTTATCTCCCTTGACCTAGCATCATCGTTCTATCTCCCTTGACATAGCATCATCGTTCTATCTCCCTTGACATAGCATCATCGTTCTATCTCCCTTGACATAGCATCATCGTTCTATCTCCCTTGACATAGCATCATCGTCGTCTTCGTCTCGCGTTCTCTTCTTCTCTCCTTATCTCTACATCTCTCTCGCCCTCAATCTCCTCCCCTGCCTTGTTAGCATGTTCAAATCGGCGTGTAGCCCATGTTGTCGTGTAGCCCATGTTGTCGTGTAGCCCATGTTGTCAGAGGTGAGCCGCACGGTGCGGCCCCGTTCTCCGATTCGGAATGCAGAAGGGCGTGCTCGGTTGCCGTCAGTACCGCGCGCGAACGCATTGACTTTCATGATGGCCGAGTCCATTGCGATTTTGAGCATTTACAATGGATGACTTGAAATATGGCTCGCCCCTGGGTAAAAGCAGAAAGGTCGTGTGTAAAGAGGGAAGGGCACCCTGGGAGGGTGTTCCGCCCATCCACGCGTCCTCTTCAGTTATGAAGCACAATGGCACTGAGGTAGCACAAGCCATAGTGCAGCTCAGTCATGAAGCACGTACAAGTGCATCCATGAAGAGACAGTAGAGTCATGTAGCGAGTACAAGCACACAACTGAAGAGACAACACAGTCATCAAGTGATTTCAGTGCTCTGATCAAGGAGTGGGGCAAGCACAAGCCTGGTTCGAGAGCAGCATGTACGCCTTGCCATGGAAGTTTGTGGTTTGAAATATTGCGAAACAATAAAATTGACAAAAAACTAAAGGAAAAGTATTGGAAAAGTCGCCGCAGTCTGGCACAGGCTTGAATCCGCCGAGTCACAGAGTCACTGCGGTGGGCCCGCCAATCAATCATGATCGGAACAGGCTCAGTCACGCGTGACGGTGCATGCCGTGAACTCATCACTCAAGTTCCGAAGTTCCGGCCGCAAGGGCCCGCGGCCGGGCGCCGGGCTTTCTGAGTGCCCGCCTGCTGCCACGGAGTCAGGATCGGACCGTACCGTAGTACCGTGCGTGGCACACGCTGAGCCTCCCCGGCCCTTGCGGCCGCCGGCGGCGCCGTCACATTCTTCGAGCCGAGTCCCCTCAGTCGTGACGGTCACGCGGCCCGCGGCTTGTCACTGGCATCACGCGGCCTCTGCGCCCGGGCCGCAGCCTCCGAGTGCGCGGCCGCCCCCCGGCAGTGCGCGCCGGGCGCCCGGCCGGCAGTGCCGGCCCCTGCCCGGCGCCGCCGGGCCCGGGGTGGTCACGGTTCAAGCCTCCGAGTACTAGGCTGTACAGCCTGATCGGACAGTGTCAGGCCAGTGTCAACCGTTGAGCCAGCGGCTCCTCGACTCTCAGGGCCGGATTGTCCTCGTACTGATCTTTAACTTAACTTTGAGTAAATGAAAAGGCTTTGCCGGTCAGTTTCGATGGCCGCGCAGCCCGGCGGCGGCCCGGCCAGTCGGCCCCGCCCGGAGTCTTCCGGAGCCTTCCGAGTTCTACCGTGACGGCTTCCTTTACTCAAAGTTAAGTTAAAAAGCAGTGACGAGGACAATCAGGAGAGACGAGGAGGCTTGACCCTGACCGTGGCACTGTCGCACAGGCCAAACGGCTAGTCACTCAGTTTTGTAGTGAGGCGGACCGGACCGTTGTTGGCTACTCCGACTGAGGCTCATCATACCCTTTCCTCCTTTTCCTCCTTCCAGTTAAGTAATTAAAAATTGATACATTTCATATGAAGATATCAGTTAATTTTGGTGGCAGTTGTCGGAAATCGAGGGTTTGTTCTTGCTGTCTTTTTTGTTCGATCGAATCCGAGTCTGCCTCGCCAGCTGACAAAAAGACTCCCCACAACCACCCAAACTAGGGATAATGTCCCATCATGAATGTACCCCCCCAGACAACACTGAAGTACCCCACCCCTTGATACCTCCCCCCCCTGTTTTCCTCAGGTTCTTCTCCCCCGGATCAGTACCCACTACCCTCCATTTTCCACTACCCCTCAAGTGAAACACCCTACCCCTACTATCAACACAGCACCCCCATTCTCCAGACATACCCCTCTGCGAGTATCCTGAAAACATCGCATTTCTTTATTGATGTCTAAACCCCCACCCACCAATTTCACTTTCAGTCCCCGATTCATATTTTTCTACCCCCCTTTTGACTACCCCTACCCCTAATTTATCAGCATCCTATGGCCCACATTTGATGTCCTTCTGACAAGTTTTTCAGCCGCGTCCTTTACCGGTAGGGTCTTTTGAGGTTGTGAATTTCGATTATCATGATAATATTTTCATTAAATTCTAGGTAATTTGGGGTTGCACCTGTACATTTCACAAGCTACATTTGAAGATTCCATAGAGTAAAAAAACCTCTGCCGCCAAGCGGTTACAGGATCCCTCCTCCCTCAGCAATGGCGAGTTCCGGTAAGCGGCAGAGGCATGGCGCAGTCAGATTTCTTGTCGCATCTGCTCTTGAATCTCCTCACGTCCATGTTCTTGGCCTACGTGTATGCTTCTGAGCTCGGTCTTCTGTTTAGAACCTCGTTTCCGACGAATGAATGTCTGTAATACTTCAGCACGTCCTCTGCCCCTACCTTACTGTTTAGTGCGACTTTTGTATGCAATCTCTCTGCGATTTTGAGTTGTTATTAGTTTTTCCTGTTGTATTCGTGTGAATGTTGCACAGCCCCGATTGTTGTGCTCGTCTTTGTGGGTCTATCGACATCTTCAATTTTTCTGCACTCTAGGGGTGGCTGTCGTGCAATTGTGAAAACGGGACATATTGCTGTTGTAGAGGCAAACAATAGTTAGACATCCTCGATCAGAGTTTAAAAGGGCCCTGGTGTTAGGACAGGGAGATAGAGGGCATCTCTCGAGACATTAAAAGGGGAATTAGGAATGAGTGGCCGTCCTTAGTCAAGACTTACGCTCGGGTAAAAGCGAGCAGACGGATCACTCGAGAGTGTTTTGAATGTTCTTGTGAATCAATTATACTGGAATAGAGTTGTATTTGATTGCTGATGTCTTCTTTGCGCTGCTCCTATCTCACACAAATCGATTACAATCTTTTTTTGCTTGATTGTTGATGATGAATTCTTGACAACGGCCGGAACAGGAATGAAGGTTTTCGCTGGTCTCTTGTGCATGATCGGTTGCGCTCTGGCTGTTTCCACCCCCAGCCAAGTGAGAGATCGCTCACACACTTCTGCGACCTGACAGCTTGCAGAGCATCATGTCTAACCGTCTTGCGATGGCTTCCGCGAACACCATGCGCTTGAGGGGAGGCTTCGGAAGAAGCAAGGCCCAGTCTGAGGCCAAACCCGTTTCCAACACCAACCCAGTGGTAAACATGATTGAGAACTTGGACATGGGTCTCCTCTGATAGGATCACAGGCCTCCCTCGTCGGCACTGTGTTCAAGGCTGTTGTCTCTCCCATGGGTCTTCTCGCTGCTGCTGCCTACGGCGCCTTCCGGGCTCTTGAGGAGTGAGTGGAGGCGATAAAGAGCTGTCTATACGTTGCTGATCGTCTGATAGGTGCAAGTGCCTCAAGAAAAACAACAAGCCCAAGGCCGTCGAGGCTGTGAGGAAGGAAGGAATGGTTGGAGGATGGCTGACAGGGCAGCAGGCGAAAGCTTCCTCCTCTAGCAAGGGATGCCTTGGACTCGGCTGCTGCGGACTTTAAACATTGGATGCACCACTAGCAGGGAGGAAGGTGCATTCGTTTGCTTATCACGTGAAGAGTCTGACACAACTTTGAACAGGTATGTCGCTTAAGGATTAAATTTTTAAACAACAACTGTAACAGCAAAATGAGACAATAAAGGACATTTGGCACTGAGTGTTTGACAAGCTGAATAAGTTGTACAATTTTTTTGTTTTACTCTCGTCTAGAAATCCACGTCCAGCTCTTTGTGAACCTTTGACTTGGTTTTCCCGGTCCTCAGCCCTCTATCCACATATCTATGCAACATGTCAGAGGATAAAGACGTTACGAAGGAGATGCTACGTATTGACGGTAATGCCTGTCTTGCCAGGTTCTCGCATCTCGAACTCTCGCGTGAACACTCCTTCCTTCCCCCTCCACTTCACCGGCATATCTACTTGCTGCGGTTTCTTGAACCCGATGTCATGCGCGGTCGTGGTGAAGCAAGGATGCTGAATCTTGACGTTGCTCTTGTGAAGTGAAGCATCTGCAAACCTGCCAGCAATCTCCGGTCAGTCTCCTCTGCCTCTCTGATCCGACAGAGCTCACCGCCTTGGCAGCACGCTATTGTTCCCATAAGGATCCACATTCCCCTGGATGACTTGTTCGCTCTGCCAAGGTTAACTCGTCAGGTCGGTCTGTGCACCTTCATTGGTGAGAGGAGTGTGAAGGATCTTCACACGATAAGCTCAAGACAGTCAAAACAGCATAGAGTCATCACGACATAAGGGTGTGAAGGTCTGAGAGGCAGAGAAACTTGAAAGACTAATGCCTTGAATTCATCATTGGAGGTGTGGTGGTGGTGGGGGGGGAAAGGGCGGGGGAAGGGGGGGGGATGAGAAAGATGGACAAGAGAACAAGAGAACAGGAGGGAATTGAAGAGCAGAGAAAGTTCTCCGTCTTACTGCATTATTCGGGCCTTGGCTCCATTCCTTGAATTGCTCGAAACTGCCGGGATTGTGAATTCCTTGCTCGTCCAATATTCTCAATACTACTCCTCATCCCCATACCATCCTCACTTCCTGCATCGCAACTACTCTCCTACGCCATCCTCCCTCAATTCTGTCCTCCTGCCTCCATATGAACGCTTCTTCAAGGCTTCACTCTCCCTCCTGCCCGCCTGCAGTACCGTATGATTCGTTTTGCCACTCACTTGATTTGCTCCAGCTGCCCTTCTTGCAGTTTCTCGACGATGTAAGTCTCGTCGATGTCGATGATGTCCATCTTCTTCAACTCCTCCACATATCGCACTAGCTCGTCTCTGCCACAGTGAAGCGGTCAAGTCAGGGGATGAAAAACTGAGGTCCAAGTGCGGCAAGACAGACTGTTTGACATTGAGAAAAGGGACGGACAAACAAAACAACACACAACACCGCAACAGAGCCTGGAGCTGCTGCTGAGAAGCATTGCAATTCATCATCTTGAAGTTGAACTCACAAGCTAAGCTTTCCCAACATGTTGCGATCGCATGTCACGAATAGCCGCCGAGCACACTCCCATGCTGCTGCCTCCATTCTGCTGTCCGCCTGCCGTTGAACTGCCTGGCTGCGAGGGGCCTACAAAACTATTTCGAGATCATTTCAAAAGTATCTGCGAACTGAACTTCTTGATGTACCCCAATTTACATAGTGCCTTACGAGGGTTATGAGTCGAATGGTTTGAAACATACATCGTTTCATGGCAAACTATGATTTGATTTTCCAAATAGTTCGATAACCCCTTGAAAGGTCCACTCGATTTCAGAGATGGGGAACGGCTTCAAGGCTACTCGCTGACTCGGGGAGATATAGCTCCACTTTGTAGCTGCCATGAGCGACAAGAGCTGCCATGAGCGACAAGAGCTGCCATGAGCGACAAGAGCTGCCATGAGCGACAAGAGCTGCCATGAGCGACAAGAGCTGCCATGAGCGACAAGAGCTGCCATGAGCGACAAGAGCTGCCGTGAGCGACAAGAGCTGCCATGAGCGACAAGAGCTGCCATGAGCGACAAGAGCTGCCATGAGCGACAAGAGCTGCCATGAGCGACAAGAGCTGCCATGAGCGACAAGAGCTGCCATGAGCGACAAGAGCTGCCATGAGCGACAAGAGCTGCCATGAGCGACAAGAGCTGCCATGAGCGACAAGAGCTGCCGTGAGCGACAAGAGCTGCCCTGAGCGACAAGAGCTGCCATGAGCGACAAGAGCTGCCATGAGCGACAAGAGCTGCCATGAGCGACAAGAGCTGCCGTGAGCGACAAGAGCTGCCATGAGCGACAAGAGCTGCCATGAGCGACAAGAGCTGCCATGAGCGACAAGAGCTGCCCTGAGCGACAAGAGCTGCCGTGAGCGACAAGAGCTGCCATGAGCGACAAGAGCTGCCATGAGCGACAAGAGCTGCCGTGAGCGACAAGAGCTGCCCTGAGCGACAAGAGCTGCCATGAGCGACAAGAGCTGCCATGAGCGACAAGAGCTGCCGTGAGCGACAAGAGCTGCCGTGAGCGACAAGAGCTGCCATGAGCGACAAGAGCTGAGGAACTCAGCAGTCGCCTGATTCGTTGGTTGGCACTGACCCTCGGTAGCAGCAAGTGCGCCATTACTGAGCGCTGCCACGTCAAAAGTTCACAGATTGACAAGCCTCCTGACGCTCTCAGCGGTCAAGATGAAGTTTCTCCCTCGACCCCAGTGGCCCTGTTACAACTTCCGAACAGATCCAAGCCGCCTACGCTACGTGCGAATTCAGTCGCAACATCTTCCAATGTCTGCGCCGTGACGCGCTTTGAAGTCGTCAGGTTGGACTTGCTGGCTGGGCTCCCACGAACCCAAGATAACAACGATTCCATTCTTCCCTTCATTGATGAGCTCACTGGGAGTCTGAGAGTCTACCTGACCCCTTGTCGCAAACCGATCACATCCGAGCAAGCAGCTCGAAGAGGTTCATCGAGACAGTGTTTCGCTCTCAAGGCCTGCCAGAATGAAGAATCAAGTGTGACGCGGGGGGAGCGAGAATGAGCTCGATTCTATGCAATCTTGGGGTGAGCATGCAGTAACGGCCCCTCCTCCAGCCAAAAAAAGCTTTACTCTCAACACCGCCTCTTCATCCTCTAGCTACACACAATTTCATTGCAACAGCAAAGTTTGCAGCCTCGATCAACCTTGTCGACCCAAGTTGTGCCCGCTCCTACATCCTCACTCCGCAGAATGGAAGAGTCTTTGTTCCAATCTCGATGACCATCAAAATTTGTTGCCTGACAGCATCAGTCTTGTCTTGACCATCTACGACTTTCTCGTCTTGACTGGCATTCATGTCCTCAGATGCGACCGCTCCAAATGAAGAGGCGGTCCAGCCTGTATCCGTGTGATGCAGCACCAGCCACTCGCTCTTGCGGCTCAATGTCCTCATACATCCCTCAAGAGCATTTTCTGTTAACCCCGGCACCATACACACAATAATGTCCAAGTTACGCTCCAACAGACCAGAGATTGCGCTGGACAACTGTGTCGATGAAAGTGAAGAATTCCAATTCTTGAATTCTATTCCTCCCTTCAAGTGCGCAGAACTTGGTCCAGCGAAGGTCCCACCTCTGCGGTCTCTGTCCCGGTTACGAGTGTAGAAACCCAAGACCCCGGCAAGTTCATTCTCCTCGCCCAACCGCACAGGAACTAAGTTGGACATGCAGGAAGCTAGAATCTGCATGAAGCCTTGTTTGCTTGGGACAGCAGCCAGGATTTGTTCTACTTTTCTCTCGTCTGTTATGCCGCAATGAAATGCGATGTTTCTCAGAAGATCCTGCGGGAGAGACCAGCTGCTGATCATCATCACAACTGCCCCGAAAGACTCCAGCACGTTTGGATCTCGCTTGAACGCATCCACGCTTATAGGATCATTCCCACTCGCCATCTCTTCATGGATCGTCTGTAAGACCTCCAGCGCTGATCGGTCAGAGAAAGGTTGTCCTCCCCCCGCACAAATAGCCATGGTGATGGGATCATGCACAGCAGAAGGGAACCTCGAGGTGAGCAGCGGGAGAGAAGTTCCCTCGATTATCAAATCTTCTGTCTTTGAGCTTTTCAAGATTGCAACGATTGTCTGTCTACTACCTCGCGGAGGCACGTCCTCCTTCCAAACGTTCAACTGTGCAAAGCCTTTGGAGATCTGCAACTGAGAGACAGGTTGATGTGCAGCTACTTGAAACATGCAGTAGATAGATTCGTCACTTAAGCTCGGTTTCTCCATCTTGGCTTCTTCCAGGACCAAGCTCGAGATCTTTCGGATCCACAATGATGGTTCGGTCTCACTCTCATCCTTCAGGCGATTCAAGAAGAGTGAGCAGAGCCATGGGTTCACGTTGTCCAGAAGTACAGGAACATGAGCCTGTCCGAAAACCTTCTCCAATATTTCTTTGTCCTTGCTCGATGACGGCACGTATCGAGGAAGCGAGCGATGTGTAAAGCAGTACATTCTTCGCTTTTCATTGCGACTATAGTCAGAGCTCTTGGAGTTCTGATTGAAATTCATGACCAGAGTATTCGTCCCCAGCGTGATACAGTGAATCTTTGCATTTGTCAAAATCCTCTTATACAGTACCAGCTTAGCCGACGGTGAGAACAGATAGGTCTTATGCGGATCAGGTGGGATGGTCTCATCTATAAGAACCCACCTCCTTCTCCACTTCATGGCCTCCTCCACAGAAACTGGAGCAACTGACTTCGTCTCATTCCACAAGTAGCCCAGAGTTCCCAGCACGTGCCATTTCTGCCCACTAGTCTTGACATCAAAATCTATCGCAGTTAACATTTCAGTACGCAATTCGGGACCTGAAGCCATTGCCAACAAGCAAAGGTCACTATTTATGGCCATGCTCATGAGGTTCGTGATACTTGTTACACACTGGTATATGCTCTGCTTGCTGACCTGCTGGGAGGGATTGAAGAGAAAGTACATGCAGTCTTTTGAATTTCGAACAAAGAAATCAGCAGCGCAAAGCGATTTTCCGCTGCCGGAACAAGCTTCAATCATGCACAAGTAAACAGCATCCTTGACTCGACGTGCTTCCCGCACAATTACGTCGATTGGATTCATGGCACTGAATTCTTTGCTCGGTTTCACCCCTGATGATGTCGAGCCCCATTCAACGTCAAGGTAATCCTCAAGTAAATCTTGCAAGGACGACACGACGTCATTCAAGTTGACTCTGTTGGCAAGATCTTGTATACCTAGCAAGCATCAGTCAACAGCATTCAAAAGTTCACTTCCAAACTTACCTGCGACAAATTTCCCTGCCCCGTCCCCTCCTCGATGCGCGATAAGAGCGTATGTGACTACATCCAGCTCTCGCTGACAACGAACAAGGTCAAAGTCTCTTGCTTGACTCAAAGCTTTCCTGGCAGTTGCAATTGACAACTCTAGATCTACATCCACAAGATTGAAAGTAGCCCTTGCGATCTTGATCTCGTCTCCTGTGCCCTCAGCCTCCAACAGCTCTCCCTCCCTCTGGCACACCAGCAAGCTTAGCTTCGCCTCATTGACTCTCTGACGAGCCCTGGCGATCTTGATCTCGTCTCCTGTGCCCTCAGCCTCCAACAGCTCTCCCTCCCTGACTCTCTGACGAGCCCTGGCGATCTTGATCTCGTCTCCTGTGCCCTCAGCCTCCAACAGCTCTCCCTCCCTCTGGCACACCAGCAAGCTTAGCTTCGCCTCATTGACTCTCTGACGAGCCCTGGCGATCTTGATCTCGTCTCCTGTGCCCTCAGCCTCCAACAGCTCTCCCTCCCTGACTCTCTGACGAGCCCTGGCGATCTTGATCTCGTCTCCTGTGCCCTCAGCCTCCAACAGCTCTCCCTCCCTCTGGCACACCAGCAAGCTTAGCTTCGCCTCATTGACTCTCTGACGAGCCCTGGCGATCTTGATCTCGTCTCCTGTGCCCTCAGCCTCCAACAGCTCTCCCTCCCTCTGGCACACCAGCGAGCTTAGCTTCGCCTCATTGACTCTCTGACGAGCCCTGGCGATCTTGATCTCGTCTCCTGTGCCCTCAGCCTCCAACAGCTCTCCCTCCCTCTGGCACACGAGCCCTGGCGATCTTGATCTCGTCTCTTGTGCCCTCAGCCTCCAACAGCTTTCCCTCCCTCTGGCACACCAGCAAGCTTAGCTTCGCCTCATTGACTCTCTGACGAGCCCTGGCGATCTTGATCTCGTCTCCTGTGCCCTCAGCCTCCAACAGCTCTCCCTCCCTGACTCTCAAACGAGCCCTGGCGATCTTGATCTCGTCTCCTGTGCCCTCAGCCTCCAACAGCTCTCCCTCCCTCTGGCACACCAGCAAGCTTAGC